CCTGGTCAATCTCTGCAAGACCTACGATCAGGCTAACGCCGTTGCCCAGTTCATTGAGGCGCTGGTCGACAAGCAGCTGAAGCCGCCCATGTCCTTGACGGCGGCTCGTGGGCGTGGCAAGTCGGCTGCCCTGGGTCTGTCCATCGCCGCCGCTGTGGCCTTTGGCTACGTGAACGTCTATGTGACCTCGCCGCACCCGGAGAACTTGATCACTCTGTTTGAGTTTGTGCTTAAAGGCTTTGATGCCTTGGAGTACCAGGAGCATGCCGACTACACGATCATACGCTCCACCAATGCCGACTACAAGAAGGCCATCATAAGAATCAATATCACGAGGAGCAGTAGGCAGACCATCCAGTACATAGCGCCCAGCGACACGCACCTGCTGAATGCCGCCGATCTGCTGCTGATCGACGAGGCGGCTGCCATCCCCCTGCCGCTGGTGAAGAAGATGATCGGTCCATATCTGGTGTTCATGGCCAGTACGATCAACGGATACGAGGGCACTGGCAGGTCGCTGAGCCTGAAGCTTATCTCCCAGCTGCAGAAGGACAACAACGCGAGGCCGCCGCTCAAGCTGGAGGAGTCGATTCGTTACCAGGAGAACGACGACATCGAGAAGTGGCTGATCAACCTGCTTTGCCTGGACGCCAGCACGGTGCCGAGCATTAGCTCGGGCTGCCCCACGCCGGATGCCTGCGAACTGTACTATGTGGACAGGGACGCTCTGTTCTCGTACCACAAGGCGGCCGAGGCCTTCCTTCATCGCCTGGTCTCTATTTACGTATCCTCGCACTACAAGAACACCCCCAACGATCTGCAGATGATGAGCGATGCCCCGGCCCATCATCTCTTCTGCCTTTTGGGTCCGGTTCAGCGAATGGACGCCTTGCCGGAGATATTGGTGGTCATCCAAGTGGCACTGGAGGGTCAGATCTCCGCCCAGAGCATCAGCGAATCCCTGGGCCGGGGCAAGAAGGCGGCCGGCGACTTGATACCATGGAACATAGCCGAGCAGTATGGCGATCGGGACTTCCCCAAGCTGTGTGGCGTGCGGATCGTGAGGGTGGCCACGCATCCGAACTACCAGAGGATGGGATACGGCAAGCGAGCCATTCAGCTGCTCAAGGACTACTATGCGAGGAAGCACACCAACCTGGAGGATGGCCCGGCTGCCAGCCAGAATGTCGGCAAAGGTAAGAGTGATTAAATACTCATACTACTTTATACTTATAACTCTGTGACTTCCGCCTAGGTATCGAGGAGGTGGAGGAGGAGGAGCTCAGTCTGCTGAAGGAGCAGATCCGGCCTCGCAGTCGGATACCCACACTCTTGCAGCGCCTGCACGAACGCCTGCCTGAGCGCGTAGACTATATCGGCACCTCCTACGGCCTCACTTCCGACCTGCTAAAGTTCTGGAAGAGCGCCGGCTTCGTGCCGGTGTATTTGAGCCAGAAGTCCAACGAACTGACCGCCGAGCACAGCTGCATCATGCTGCACACGCCCACAACGACGTCGTGGCTGGGCCTGTACTACCAGGATTTCCGCCGGAGGGTCCTTAAGCTCATGGGCAAGACCTTCCGGGAGTTCGAAACAAAACTGTGCTTGGCCCTGCTGAAGAACAAATCGGTGGACACGGAAGCCAGTGCCTTGAAAGTTCTGGACAAGCCCATGCTGGATGTGTTCTTCCTGCCACACGATCTTCAGCGCCTGGAGAGCTACGCCCGCCAGCAATCCGAGTTCCGACTGATCATCGATCTGCTAACGGACATCGCCCAGCTGTACTTCCAGGGCAGGATCGAGGGACTGCAGCTGGATCTAGTGCAGCAGGGAATACTTTTGGCCCTGGGCGTTCAGGGCAAGACTGTGGATGCCCTGGGCCTGGAGCTCAATATGCCGGGCAATCAGTTGCTGGCCAAGTTCTTCGATGCCATGAAACGGTGCAATCGGTGCTTCCGATCCGTTCTGGAGGAACACATCGAGGGCGGAATGCTGAGGGAGGCGGATCTGTCCAAGGGCGAGGAACTGCAGCCGCTCAGCCTGTCGCTCGACAAGGAGCTGGATCAAACGGCCCAGAAGCTGAGCAAGCAGCAGCGCAAGGAGCTGAAGCGACTGAAGGCCGAGCAGCTGGACGAGTTCCAGATCAAGGGCAGCGAGGAGGACTGGTCCAAGGCGCTGGAGACAAACGGAACAGGCGGTGGCAGCGGGCTGCTCTCCGTCAAGAGGTAGGTGGGCCTATGCAGTGCGTCCTGAGCGTTTTCTTTTAAATAATTTGTAATTACTTACAATAATAGTCAAATAAAATATGATTAAATTTTAAATTAAATTAATAAGACTGTTATCAAGTTATAGGGTTCAAAAAACATTTTATAGGGTTCCTTTCTATTATATACATACTTCAGTCAGTGGTTAACTATCACTTAATTCACAACTTATGCTTTCTCTCTTTCTTTTTAGTGGCGTCAAGCGACTGGACGGACCCATCGAACAGCCCGAGGATCGCGAACTGGCCGCTCCGCTTTCCAAGAAGAAAAAGAAGAACAATCCGAAACAGAAACGCGGTCAGGGCAAGTCCCTGATCTAGAGCAAAATAAGGATATTTTTTTGTGCGTGTGGGGGGAAGAAGAATGTGGATTTTAATGCTATAGAAAAGTACATATTGTTGTAAGCTCCGTTAAAAATAAAAGAAACCTAATAACTGAACTATATCTTGATATCGGCAGCCGCCTTGGCTGCAGCTGCGGCCGCCCTGCGCTTATCCTTGAGGTCCTGGTAGCTGACGCCCGGCTCCTTGTGGCTGCTGCGCTCGAATCGCTTGACCTTGGCCTTCTTGCGGTTGACGAGCTTCGTCGTGGGCAACATGTTGTTGCGTTGCAGCGTGTGGAAGCGATCCTTCAGCAGGCTGCTCTCCGTCTTCACGTTGCGCAGATTGCCGGCCACATCCTCGGGCAGATTGACATCCAGGTCGGGCTCCTCGAACTTGTGCCGCCCCAGGCGCTTCGGCTCGAACTTGGCCTTCTCGGCGCGCTGCTTGCGCCGCTTTTTCAGCTCGTTCAGGTCCTCCTCCTCGTCGTCCAACTCATGACGGATCGATTTGATGCTAGATGGGGGAAACATTAAGGATTAAAAGCTGTTTTAGATAATGACAGTATCTAGTTATATCCCTACCGCATCAGATCAGCAGTCTGTTGCTTTAGCTTCCTCTTGAGCTCTGTTTGGCGTGCCAGTTCCTTCTGCTTGAGCTCCTTGCGACGGGCTTGCTTGCTCTTCTTTTTGTTCTCCACAGGAGCGTTAACTGTGTGGTAGGGCTTATCCACATTCTCTTCCGGCTTCTCTCCGTTGCCCTGGCCAGCCTCATCTTGCTGGCCCTCCTCCTGCTCCTCCTCCTTCTCCATGCCCTGGCTCATCTCCTGGAGACGACGCCGGTCCCTTTCCTCGGGCGTCACCTTGGAGAACATGCTGGTGGTCACGCGCTTCAGGTGCTGCTCCTTCTTGATGATGCCCTCCTCGCGTTCCACAATCTTTGAAATAAGATCTTGGTGGTCCTCTGGCGCGGGATTGTAGCTCATGCCCGGATGCGGAAGCTCGAATTTCCTGGGGAAAACGAGAAATACGTCATCAATGGTAATCGCCAGTGATGAAGACCATTGACTTACTTGGCCTTGGTTGTTTTGTGGTGCAGACTGGCGTGCGTTTTGACCACCTTTTTGCCAATATTCCCGGCTGTGTGCAGGGCCAGTTCGCGACTGATCCAGCCCTTCTTGTCCTTTAGTCCCGGAATCGCGTCGCGGAAGTCCACCTCCTCCCAAATGTCCTTCTCGACGGCCAGCTTCTTGCTCTTCTTGTCCGCCAGTCGCTGCTCCAGCTTCTCGTAGTACAGGGCGCGATCGCTGTTGGCCTGGCGATGACGCGGCTTGGTGGGATTGCAGACCTCCAGCTCGATGTTGCGTCCGTTCTTCTTTTGGCGCACATGGTTGCTGCAGGGAGAGATGGGCGTGTGAGTGTGCGCCACATTTCGTGCTCGGGAACAGCCGAAAAACCTACCGCTTGGCAATGGGATCCTGCACCTTGGATGTGTTCTCCAGAGCCTGGTGGCTCCTCATCGGTTTCTTGGCATTCAGCTTCCTCTTTTGCTTCACACTCAGGACGGCGGCCTTGGCTGGTTTATCTGCGCTGGTGTCCAAAACGAACAGATCCTCATCCTGCTTGTCCGTGAAAGTGCTGGAAAGATTGGAACAGCCAGTTGAGCTCCCGGACTCCACATTGTTTACCCAACCACACCACACTCACCCAATGCGCTCCTCCTGGCGCTGATCTTCGAGGAACTGCTCCACATCCTGGATGTCTGTCTTGCGCCACGCCGATTTGTTCTTCTTCGAGATGCGCTTCTTCTTCGTCCCTGGCTCCACGGCCGTCATTGCTGCGGATTATCTGGTTATTTGGTAGTTAAACAATAAAATAACAAATGTCCAGTGAGTGCCAAGCGGCACACGTGCAAATCTGACAGCGCTTTCCAACACGGATTGATAGGTTGTCCAACACTTGCGGGCTGCTGCAGTCAGCTGCTTAGTGATGGGCAAACACTGTACTAACATAGCCATAAAACTAGAGATGGCTATTGGTGCATAAACTAGCAATATTTAAAGTTAGTTTTGGTGGGTGTACACTTTTTTATCCGTGTCTATGAACCAGGTCCATTGAACCTACTATTGCCTTCCTCTAGATGTCAAACAAATTATCATATTAAATTTCCCGCCTTGATGTCGATTTTCTTGTCGATAATATATTAGCCATATAATCGTAAGCCCTCAGTTTAAAATATAACTATTACAATTTCAATAATACTAAATTTAAATAATAAATTATCCGATTAATTTTTGTTTTAGATTAAAAGCTTTTATTAGTCCCTAGGACAGCTAAAAATAATTGACTAGAAGCCAACACTGGCTATAAAACCGCCAAAAACTGGCTTGCGTATCTCTGGCTCCTCTTCATTCCAAAACACCTGTGTGTGTGTGTGTGCTTTTGATCAAGTGAGCTGTGCATTTATTCAATTTTCATTTAAAATTGTGTATAAAAGGGGCCGGCGAGGCGTATCCGGGTCATAACGCATTGTGTTTTCCAAGGCGCTGTTTCAAAAACTATAAAACAAAAACCTCACGCATTTTTTTTTCAACTAAAAGAACTGAAAAAAGGCCGGTAAGTGCGGGCAGCGACGTCGACTGCGGCAGCGGCGCAGGCACCGACATACGTGTACCAAACAAAACGCGGTAAACAAACTTTTCCGCTCGTATATTTTTTGTCATACCCTCCCGAAGAGCATTGTAAATTTCGAGAAAAACTACTTTTACTAACTCGGTGTAAGAGCTAGCGGTATAAAACTTTCGGAATTGGATTGTTTCGTGGTCAGGCATATCATATTCAAAAATTCTGACGATCGGTCGTCCATATTTTTTAAAGAACGTATTTCTATAAATTACATACATATATATTTTTCGTATACGATTATGAGAGACAAATTAATTTAATTTTTTTCACAAGGGTATACAAGCATCGTCTTGTCAAAGCTGTCATTCTAATTTGCTTGTTCTTTGTCTATTTTAGTTTTTTTCCGATTACGCCGTGCTATCGCCCCGCTGAAATAGTTTATTCGTTACAAATAGCAGATCGAGATCTCCGGCAGCGACAGACGTACTTTTAACGCCACCAAGATGAGCACCTTCCCCAGTTTCGCGGACATTTCGGCCAAGTTCTCGGAGGCCACGCTGGACGAGATCATCCGCAATGCGGGCGGCACCCGCCACACCTCCTACAAGTTCGGTCCCAGTGGCAAGAAGGGGGACGCCTACCTGAGCCGCGTCTTCCGCATCACCGTCTTCGGAGTAAGGGATTCCGAGCAGGGAAAGGACGAGGAGGAGCTGAAGGTCGGGGTGATCGTGAAGGCCATGCCCGACAATCTCCATCGCCGGCGTCTCTTCCGCTCGGTGATATTCTTTCGCAACGAGATCAACTTCTACACCAAGGTGCTGCCGGCCATCGAGGCCTTCCAGAAGTCCCGGGAGCCCGCCCCCAAGAAGCCCTTCGTGGAGTATCCCCGCTGCCTGGCCAGCCTGTGCGACGGTGTCAACGATTTCATCGCCCTGGAGGACGTGGGTCCCAAGGGCTACACTGCGCCCGTGCGGTGAGTGAACCCCAGTTTTATCTTGATATCAAGACTTTAAATTCCAATATCGAATATTTCGATTATATTGTAACCTAATAAGAGCTGAAGCATTAATTCATAGCACCTGGATTTCAACTGATCAGTGATCATCTAATCTTCATAATCTATATAGGACAACAAGGGTATTTGTTATAGGCAACCATATTTAATCATATTTGTATTTTCAATTATCTATAATATGTATTAGTGTTAAGTAATTCGAGCAAATATGGAACTGATTGCTTACTGATAGACTGAGTTGGTCTATCTGCCTTATCTTATCTACATGTTTGTTTGGTAATCCTAGAAATCGGTTGTTACAATGACTGCCTTTTTAATTTTATTCTCTAGAAGCGATAACGAAATTAAAGTGATTTCCGGGTAATATATTTATTTTTAATCTATTAGAAAAAAATAAAGCTATAAATAAATGAATATAGTATAAGTTTTATATAGAATCAAAATTCCACATAGTTTTTCCAACACATTTACTTATACTTTATTTGTGACTTCAAATCTTTAACCGCATTTAATTATTCTTACAGCCAGGACTACATTTCCCTAGAGGATGCTCTGCTAACCATGCGCACCCTGGGTCGATTCCATGGCGTGGCCCTGGCCTTCAATGCCCTGGACAGCAAGAACTTCGAGAAGGCGGCGGATTCCCTGGAGGAGACCTATTACGGCGAGCACACTCGCGAGTGGTACACCGGCTTCCTGCTGCTGGCGGAGAACGTGGCCTTGGACGCCGTCAAGAAGGTGTATCCGGACAGCAAGTACGAGACCGTGGCCGGCAACTTCCTGCAGCCCGCGCTGTTCGACGACCTGATCAACCTGGTGTCCACTCGCTCCAAGCTGAGTGTCTTCGGGCACGGCGACTGCTGGACCCCCAACTTCCTGACCAAGTACAACGAGCAGGGCGAATCGCAGGAGATTATCATTATTGACTTCCAGCTGGCCAGATGCTCCTCCTTGGCCCTGGACCTGAGCTTCTTCATCTACTCTTGCACCAGCCAGGTGTTGAGGGAGGAGCACTATGACAAGCTGCTGCGCGCCTACCTGGAGAGTGCCCATGAACTGATCAAGGATCTGGGTGGCGATCCCGAGGAGATCATCACATGGGAATCGCTGCAGCAGGAGCTGAAGGACTTTGGACGCTTTGGCTGCGGAATGGGCATCGAATCGCTGCCCATGACCATGATGGAGGACGAGGAGGTGGCCGATCTGGATGGCATCAAGGAGAACGCCATTCTCACCGACATCTGGAACATCACGCCCTTCAAGGAGCCCGCCAAGCAGAAGCGCCTGGCCGAGATTTTCAAGCACGCCATCGATGAGGGCTACATCAAGTAGGCTTCAATTTACCACGATCAAATCGAATTCAACTAGTATTGGGAATTTATACTTGTAACCCTATATGTACAAACTATAACTGAAGATTATTAAACCGTGTTCCAAGCACAAAGCCAGCTGCAGATGGGATTAAAAACAGATCTTTATGGGCAATAACTGATGAATAGAGTAACATAGACTGAAGGGTATGTACACGGTGCTGGTGCTGGCGCTAAAACTAAGCTGGGGGTGGCCCTTTCAGAGGCACTGTCCCTCGTGGAGAACGCACCAGTGTGGAATTACCGCGTCCGCGTGGATTCCTCGGGCCAGGAGTCGCTCCCGGTAGCGGTAGAACCTACGCTGGGCCAGCAGGGCAGACGATTTGGGATTGGACCACAGGCGCTCGGCTGCTGCTCCGGCTCGCGGCCAGATCCGGGATTCTGGAAGGGATTGGAGGATGATTAGATGGGTTACTCACGTACGCAGGTCTAGGAGCTACATACCCAGTGAGTTCTGATCAACATACTCGCTCCACATGCACACCTCACCGCCGAGAACCTGATCTTGGCTGCGTCCCACGGGCATGCCACTGGAGTAGACCGTGCGCCAGTTGTAGTACGAGGTGCTGCCCCAGAATCCGTGGTCCAGGTACCAGGCGTTCTTCGTGGACACAATCAGCCGGTAGCCCCGCTGCAGAAGCTCCCGGTTGAGGGCGTCCTGCGACTCGACCCACGTCTGGATAATGAACCGCTCCTTGGGCAAATAGGCCTCGATGTAGCGGGGATTGGTGAGGTGGCTGGACCAGATGATCACCGACTTGGGCTCCTTGATGCCCGGATACATGCGCTCGTTTATCTCGTCCCAGGCATTGAGGTTCTTTTGGTGGAACTGCGACCACAGGCGCAGGAAGCTCTGCTCACTGAGATCGTAACCGCGTGCCCGCATCCCGTCGCGGATCTCCTCGGTGTTGTTCCAGCAGGGCAGGAACACTTCGTCGCCGCCCATGTGCAGCGTCTCCTCCGGCGCCCCCACCTCGGCCACATCCTCGAGGATCTCCTTTAGCACGGCGTACATGTGATCGTTGAGGGGATTAAGCTGACCGCACGGCGGCTGCACGCAGAATCTCCGCCAGGGCGACTGATTGAGGCACACTGACATGTTGCCCAGTCCGGCGGCCGGACCCCACTGCCAGCCATTGCCCGCATGGGAGGGCCCATCGATCTCGATCAGTACGCGAATGCCCCGCAGGCGGGCGTACTTGACCAGGTTGATGGCATCCTGGCGGGAGTACGTCTGCGACGAGGAGTACGCTCCATAGCGCTGCATTTCCGGCACCCTGGTGATCTCCAGCGGAAAACTGTGCGTGTCGACCACGTGCCAGTGGAGTACGTTCAGCTTGCTGGCCGCCATGGCATCCAAGGTACTACGGATGAACTTGAGCGGCACGAAGTTCCTGGCCGTGTCCAGCAGCACCCCGCGATGGGGAAAGGCCGGACGGTCGGTAATATTGGCCCGGGTCACCATCAGCAGGCCATTGGACTGGCTGCCGGTGACCAGGTTGCTCAGCGTCTCGAAGGCATGCCGTGCTCCATACACCGTGGCCGCCTGGATGTCCACAAAGGTGGCCGTGTCCGTGGTGCGCACCACCAGGGCGTAGCTCTCGTCCGTGGGCCAGTCCAGGGTGAGGCTCTCGTTGGCCACCGTGGACCTGACCAGGATCTGCTTGCTGCTCTCCAGCGTGCAGTTGCGGGTGCACTCCTTCAGCAGATTCGAGACGAACAGCCGGTTCGTCTCCCGTAGGAACTGTGTGGCCGCCTCGCCGGGCGCCACCACATGGAAGCGCACCTTCCACGGATCGAACCGCACCCGGCCGTGCGAGATGGTGCACTCCCTGCCCGTGGGCATCGGCCAGATGGCCCCGTACTTGCCACAGGACAGCCGGCAGTCCCGCTGGCTCTCGAAGATCTCCGGCGCGTACTGCAGCCCGGCTACGTTCTCCGCCTCCGAGGTGCATATGTCCGTCCGGCTGCATAGCCACTTCCTGGGAATCAAGGGGGTAAAGTATTTTTTCAGTACAGGGATCAGAACTTGATAATATTTAGTCTTTGATATGTAATTAAAATTATATTCTATACTAAATAAGTATAACCACATTCAGGATTTTTTTAAATTTGAAATACTTTTATAAGATATTGTTAAGGGTGTGCTCTTCTACATAAGAAAGACTGTCCGTTTCCCTACAAAACATAGTAAAAACGCTGTCTTAAGCATGTTTTAGAGATTGTGTAATTCTGATTTTCTTTAAAAAATATCTAATATTCTTTATTCTAATTACTGGAAAAATAATATTTATTAAGGAGATTTTTTTTTTATTAAAATATAGTATTTTAAGGACAGTTCGTTTTCTCATTTTTTGAGGTAAACAAAAAGTAGGGCTTAAACCGGAAAAACGTATGCAAAGGCTTAGTTCACCTGTTTTTAAAAATATATAGCTTCATTTGAATGAGCGTTTATCAAAGCAATTAAGTGGTAGGCGTAAAAATGGTTAAAGTAAAATGTATGTTTAATCCTAAGTCCGTAATATCAGAATGCCACTTAAGCTGAAATTATCTTCTTCGGATTAAAAGAAAGTTATACATATGTACGTATATTTAATTTGTTTTTTTTTCGAATCTCGCCATTCCTAGCAAAAGGGTCTTATAGCTTTATAGAGGAAGTTGCAGAAAAACAAATGGAACTACATATTTTTATGTACAGATAAACCCTTTGTTTTTTTATTTTTTTACTTTTTTTGTGGAGTTATAATTTTAGTTAAGTCATGAATATTAAACATTATAGTTTTTTAATTGGTTCAAAAAATATGACAACCTTAAAATTTAATAAGTACGCGGTTAGTTTTTAATTTTTTTGAAATCATACAAAAGCTAGCAATTATTTTATATATTTTTAGATAAGAAATAAAAGGAGGAAAAATAACTTCTTGATTAGTTGTTTTCATTATACTCCATGGACATGGATTGTGTGATTCATTTCTAATCATATCTTGTATTGCCATTTTCTTCACTTTACATTAACTCAAAAAAACAAGGAGTATCAACATCAATTAAGTGTATTCACTGAATAAAAAAATAAAAAAAAAACACCAAGTAGATACATGTTTTTAATTGAAATGTAGTCCTGAGTAGAAAGTTTCTTTTATGTTAGTTTGCCAAGATTTTTTTGGTGGCAACTCTTTTTTAAGGAAATCGTTTGAACGAAAGTATTTTAATCAAATTTGACACAGTTGCAGTTTCAGCTGTTTTTTTTTATTTTTAAAATTTTTATGAGCCTGATTTCACTTGTTGCTGTTGTTGTTGTTGCAGCGATTTCCTGTCTAGCAGGGACCCAAACCCGATGCGGTTGATTGCAAATTAGCATTCTAATGGCATTTGGCACAGTTTTTTTAGATTTATTTATAATTGAACTTGTTCCTGTGGAAATTTTGCCATTAGGGACAAGTGATATTTTAAATTTCCACATAAGCTGACACAGGATTACTGTTTTAATTGTATTTTAGAAATTTCACTTGTTGCTGCGATTTCCTTGCTAGCGAGGACACAAACCTGCTGGCGCCGCCGCCGCCGGCGTCGCTGTCGACGTCGTCTGCCCGCGTAAGCGCAGCGCCGACCGCGAAGCAGAGCAGAAGCGAGGCAACCGCCGAGCAGAAGCACTGATAACGGTTGTAGCCGCTGAACCGCATCGTTCCTTTCTAACGGCTTCCTCGGCTGCGCCGGCCGCTTTTATAATTTTTTGGTATTTAACTGGGTATGAGTACCGCGCTCCGCTTGCCCGCTCGCCGCGCACAGCGAAACTGAAAAGCTGCGACTGAAATCGAAAAGCGACGCGGGGAAGTACGAATAAAATAAATCCGGCGAAATTTCACTTGCAGCGTAGCGGCAGCGGCGCGGCAGCAACAACAATAACAAGCCGCGCTTATATTGAAGAGAGAGAGCGGGGCGAAAGAGAGAGAGAGAGAGAGCAGAATAAAATGGAAAAGAGCGACTGCGTTACACAGCGAAAAAACGAGGTCCTTTTCCTGGCAACTAGGAAAAATACTTTTTTTTTTGTATGCAGTCATATCCCTTTGATTACTGTCAAAAAGTTAAGTTCTTTTATAAAAAATAATGCTAAAATTATTTTAAGACATTCCTCTATATTTAAACATTCCTTGCATGATAGTAATTATTTGAAATAAATTCCATTTCAAAATTTAAAAAAATTATTTAAGCTTCTTTGTGTATTTAAACAGTCTTTTTAAAGCCAGTCCCATCCTTTCAATTAATTTTAATCAGTTTCTAGTCCAAAAAAATTGAATTCATTTATATAGGACATCTCCAATAATGTAATATAAGATCCTTTAATCTGCAATTTTTATCTATAGTTTCGATACTTTTTAGCACATATCGCAAAGCAATAGCAAAGCATAGCATAAGTAAGTGAGATCCTTTGATCCACAATTTTGATCTATAAATATATTCCAAGGCAAAATCAATTGTAATAAAAGAATTTCCGAACCGAACCCAATCCCGACTTCATCTGCATTTACGCCCAGAACAATTCCAGACTTTTTCTCCCTGTGTAGAGCTTGCAATCAGCATATCCCCCACTCTTTGACATAAATCCCCACCCCCTGGCGAGTGGCCCACATACGGAAGTCGTGGGGTGAGTGATAAAATGGGAAAATAAATATATTTATATATATACATATATATATACGGAGCAAGAACCGCAACAGCAACAAATATCGGGGCTTCAAAAGTGCCAGCGAGCAAAACACCAGAACTATAACGACCACCATTCACCCGAAATACGGAAACTGTTTATAAAAAATATTTTATACATAAGTTATGGGAATTCTTATGAGTTGTATTCACTAGAAAACAAGCTGATTGTTTTTTTTTCGACCAATTCATCATTCTATACACTCATTAAAATATATGAGAAATTATGTAAACTTTGGAGACAGAAAATAAGAGCTACATAAATTACAATTACTTTTTATGTGAACTTTGTTATTAAAGACATAATCTATTATATACGTTAAAAATATGTGCCTAATTAACGGTCAGGCAAAGGAAACAAGTACTCAACAAATTGGCCGAAA